AGTTAGAGTCTGGCAAGCACAACTATCTGTCCTCTCTGCTAACACTGATAATAGTATTAAATTAGCTCTAGCTCTCTTTGAAGCAACCGAGGAACTCGGAGATCTCTAAGTGGTGGCTAGCACCTCAAGAAGCTAATAAGTGGCAAGCTTAAGGTTGCGTTTGAGTTTGGCAATGCGGTGGGTTATTGAGTTCTAATTTTCTGAGTCATAACATGTTCTGGTTGAGTTTAGATTATGGAACAATGTTTAACAATTTCTTTGGTATCATTCATGGTCCTCTCTAAGGTACAAATTTGCAATTATATTAGAATTCTCAGAAAGATCCCTCTTAATGTACATGCTGAGATGGGTTTTTTAATTAATTGAAATATCACCTTCATCAAATTCATATAAAGAATTAATTCTAATGACAAGACCCCAAGTATTAGTTAGAAGAGCGTCATCCATTGGAGGTCCTCGAATTCATATGAATAATTAACTCTAATTACATGACCAAATGTATTAGTTAGAAGAGTGTAACCCATTGGAGGCAATTTCTTTACTTGGCAGTTGAAATATTATTATTTTTCTTGCATAGATCTCTTAGTTTCTTAAACATCTTCTCTACTCAGTGTAAGCACACTTCTTTTCTTGGGAGTAGGTGTTGATAATAGCTCATTTGAGTTCCAATCATCATAACTTTTATAGGTGCTATCCAAAAGTTACTTAGCTTCATTCATTGTAACTTTTCCTGCATAACTATGGGCCTGTTCTGCAACGCTCCAGCTCTCAGCTTCGTCAACTCCACGCATGAAGCTGAGCCGAACACTCTAGCTTTACGGAGTTAAAATCTGAGAAGCTGGCGGGCGTCTACGTGCAAAAACTGTGGAGTTTCAGAAGCTAGCATTTGCCAGCTCTCAGAAAACGGAGAAGATAGAGTTGGGTGAAATTACGAAGCAATGCCACCGCCAAGTGAACGATCGAACCGGTACGAGGGAAACATGACGAGCGAACATAACGATTCACTAGTCAACCTGCCACATGGGCTGAAAATAACGTCCACACCCACCAATCCGACCAGGCCCATGCCTCTTTCACAGCCACTTGGGCTCTCAGCCCACTCCAAAATGCTAACTTCAGAAGCTGATGCTGCCGAACGATTTCCAGATCGCCACCTGAAGCGAGAAGCCACTCGAGAAGCCAGATTTGAGAAGTTTTGCAGAAGCTGGGGCGTTGCAGAACAGGCCCTATCTAGTTGCATTCTAGATACTGAGGTTAGACCATTACAAATATGTCAAGCAAAATGTGATCTTTAATCCCATGAAGTGGATTCTTTCTTTGCAATCCACAAAACCTCTTCCAAGTTTTGAGGTAAAGCCTCACTCTTGTTTGAAAAAATATATATGAATATCTCTAACTATAATATGGATATATAATCCCATTTCCCCACCCGTTTTTCTTATTTTAGCGTTCATTTGACCCACTTTTGCTTATTCTAGGCTAGTTTTTCACAACAGTTTATAAATAATTACAACAAAATTCAGCAACTGCAAGCTGAGCCTGAATCTCTTCTTAACTAGCAAAGAATTTATTGAAAAAGCAAATGAGACACTATCAAATGGGCAAGTTTGGCGATGAAGGAACAAAATTCTTTCATGCCGATGCCACCATCATGTATAGAGAAAAACTTGTCACAAGTTTGCATGATGGAAGTGTAGTCACGTACTCCCTCCATTCCCTTATACAAGGCCACTATGAAAAATACATTTTGCATCTATACAAGTCCACTAACAATAATCGAGGCAAAAATTAATAATGTTTTATCGTACTAGCAACTTGTTTAATAGTTTCATGCATGTAGTCATAATGACACTGTGCTACTTCCTTCTCATTCCTTTCTTGTATGCATACAGACGTATTAATGATCCCGGTTAACAAAAAGAAAAGTTGGTTTACAAAGCAGTCATTAAATTTTACCTTGGTACCTGTAATTATTTCGGCTCAGTGGGTAGTCTAACACTGTGAGCCGAAATCTTTTGCAAACCTCCATAAATATAATTAGAAAGATTTCGGCTCATACTAGGTTGCAAAAAGTAATGTTAGATGGCTTTATCAAGACAATAATCATTCAAGACTGCTTTGCCGGGGCTTTTAAGTACTCCCTCCGTTCCAAAATAGATGACTCGACGTTGTACTAACTTTACACGAGTAAAGTTAGTACAACGTCGAGTCATCTATTTTGGAACGGAGGGAGTAATAAGTATCTCCACTTGCCTTCCTCGAACTATGCTCATACTCAAAACAAAAGGAAGAATTAATGTCCAAGGCTAAAGCTCTGACAGTGTTGCGCCGTCTTTTTCAGCTCTCACTTTCAGTGCAAGCCTGTGAGTTGCTTGATCTTTAGCAGCTGACACAAAATATCTTAGAAACTGGGGAAAAAAAGGATTGTTCATATCTTGTCTTCAGCTAAGGCCTGCACGTCTCTAACAAGACATACTGAAGTTCATATCTTTTTTGGGTGACTATGGAAATCATCCTGTCAACGTAAGCATGATGGTTTCTTTTGTTCGATGCCGAAGGATCGCCTAAACACCAGGGAATTCCGTACTTATTTAAGTCCGAACAAGGATCTCCTTTGGCAATCATCAAACGAATGTTGCGATCTCTTGCGACAATATTGGGCCATGAAGAGTAGTGATTCCATCCCATGAGTGTCCCTTCCATATATTGCAACATGTCAAGGGTCAATTGGTTTCACCAAAAAAAAGAAGAGTCAATTGGCAGTCCCGTCCTTTTTCTTCAGTGAAAAATGTTATTCTCATGTGCTGGCTGGAGTATTTGGAAGTACCATTCCAGCAAGTTTAGTCAAGATTACCCACTTTTGCCTGCCCTTTCCACATGATTGTTAAGTGACTGTGTTCTGGATTTAGGGAATCAGTCTTTTACATCGTTGGTTAGAATTGCGGCCAACATGACGTCTAGAATGAGCACCAGAAGTTTCACTGGCTCCTATGAACTGGGCCTAGAATTTAAGAAATTGGAATAGGATTTTGGCTACCACAAGAATTTGATATCATAAATACCAAACTTAATAGTACTAGTGAGTTGTATATATAGAATTGAAAGGAAAGAACTGTCCCGTCAACACACCAAATTAGCGAACACTGGAATGAGATAACTTGGTTTACATGGCAAGAGATAATACGGGTCAACAGTAAATAGTGTGCCACAACAATGAGCATTGCACACGACCTGGAATGGAGCTGACCGTGCCAAAAATTATATCCGGGAAACAGACCTTCAATCAAACAACTAGATAGAAATAAACACTGGACTGGAGCAGCCTTTCCTGCCTCGTTCGTCAAATGTCTCCCACCCAAGATTATACACACACGGCCAAATATATGTGTAGCCAGACTCGCCTGCGACCACATACCGTCCAGCCAATCATTTGTACATTTCACCTCTTCATTCACTGGGGGCCTGCGGGTTTTCAGTTAGTGTTAAAACGAGTTCATGGGAAGAAACGTGAACACAGAGCATAGGAGCAGATAAAATAAATGGAAAATCGGCATAACAAAATTCCCGTAACAAATGATATTCTTCCAACATCATCCATCTTGGAACAGAATAAAGCAAATTATGTACAATCTAATAACAGTAGCAAGTTCATTCCAGGGAAATACTATCAATATGTCAATTTCAACACACGGTTCTCGTTTTCTTGTAAGCACAAAGAGGCAACACACAACCTGGGTGACAATGTTTTCAGGCGCTTAAGAATTTGTACAGTTGTATTAGTTGGCTTTGGAAATTACATTCTCGGCTCCCTAAACTGGAAATAATTTGCACAATCAGTTCTTTCTTCAGGAGTTTCCCGATGTAACATGCTGACAGACATGATCTGGTGATTCTATCAGTGATAGCACCACCCAGTTGGTCCTGACACCCAGGTCCATGCAGTGGCTCCAGCAGCCACGGCTCGCTTAGTACATGCATGAGTGAAGAAGCTAACCTTCTTGTATGTTGTTCCTCCCAGAAACTGCAAGTCCTAGAGGTGTTTGATCAAATGATGGAAGATGGTGTGGAAAGACAAATGAGAAGGCATAGTTTAAGTAACCATGTCTAGAACGCAGGAGAAGGCTACCTGCCCAAAACAGGGGGATGGGGTTATAGAACATAGCATTCGATTGACAAGAATATATATATTGTGGTGATTCTAGCAAACTAGCTCCAACAAGAGTGTGAAGCAAAATGTTTTGCTGAACCAGTTCAGCTGGACCAAAAAATCCCACCGTACAAACATCTTTGAGATTCAAGAAGTAATCCCAGATACACCAACCAATCCCTCTCCTTTTCCTCATTGTGACAATGTGCATGACATATGTTCTCAATACTAAAAGAATCATTCTAACAAATTCGTAGCATATTGGTCTACATTGATCCTGAATGTGCCAATTGTTTCCGTTGGTGCAGCTGAACTTAAGATCAGAAGAACTTGTTTTAGTGTTGAAACCACTATAAATCAGATTAGTTTACACACGGTTGATCTGCTGGCCAACTCTTCATGGGGCTAGTTGCCAACAGGTTCCCCCACCACCCTCAGATAGATGTCAACCTAGAATGCCAGTTCATGTTTTAATAAGATCATATGTGATCTATGTCTTGGCCAGACCCAGAAAAATCTAATGAATACAATTGCATGGATTAATCTCTTATGGTACATAATATGCAGTTAGTTATTGACTGCATCTATGCACAAGATTTAAGATATGTGTTGACCCATAAAATTTGAGATCACTTCAATTACCAAACTCAGCAAGTGATTAGCAAGTGTTAGTCGGATGGACGGAAGAACATAATACATTACAATATCAAACAAAGGATAAATTAATGACCTGATCACAATGCCATTTCAGCTTGCAGTGCAGCAAGCTCATCCTCCTCAGCCGACGCTTTCTGCGGAGCAGGGCGAGTTGGTTGCGCCTTGCCTGGCACGGTCGTCGTATGAATAGGAATAGTTACAACAGGCTCCAGTAGTTGGGATTCCAATTCTGCTCCCTCCAACTCTTCCAGCTCCGCTTCCAGTTCATCCTGTCAAATTTTCAGTGTGGTAGGTATTAAATGCATCAGAACAAGAATGAAATCTAAACCCCAAGATCATAAATCCTACTCCATCCGTTCCTAAATACAAGTCTTTCTAGAGATTTCAATATGGACTACATACAGATGTATATAAAGATATTTTAGAGTGTAGATTCACTCATTTTGCTCCGTATGTAGTCCACATTGGAATCTCTAAAAAGACTTATATTTAGGAACGGAGGGAGTAATTGGCTAGTGAGTTACCTCGTCAAAATCAGCAGAAGCTCCAAGAGGAGATGACAGAGCATCTTGTATTTGTTTCATGTTTTCTGTCTGTTCATTAATTTCATCCATAGTCTTGTCGACATCGTCGATATTTCTGTAGCACAAAGAAAAATGTTCATCTTGAGACCTCAATTCCATGAAACAATTAGTGGAGAAAATCCTAAATTAAAATGGATCAATACTCACGTTGCTTTTTGCATTGCTTTCATAGCTTTAGCTCCAGTCCTCAATGCATCAACAGTCTCTGTCGTAGCTTTAGCAGCTTCTAACATGATCATCTATATAACAAGATCAACATTGTGAAGATACATGGATGCAACAATCAGGAAAAAAACATAGTCAGAACTAGGAGGTAACCTGATCATGGATTCTCAACTGGAAATTCCCAAGCTGCTCAATTTGCTGCTCATAAAGTTTTTTCCTCTTCAATGATTGGATAGCCGCTGGTGAAAAACAGTGATTCAATTGACACACAGTATTTCTGCAGTTTTGTAATACTCTATTCTACATTACATAATAATGAAGGCCAGATAACATCCCAAGGTAATCACATTTTCTCAACTGAAGAAGAAAGAGTGGACAGAATCAAAATGAATAAGCTGTAATTAGCTACATGAAGAATCATCACTGCTTTAAGTAAAATGACGGTAAAGGCTGGCTGCCATAAAACACTAAACAAAACATGCACCTTATACACATTGGATCAAAATGCAGAAACATAGATATCATTGCAAAGTAGGACCATGGCATGTGTATAACAGAAGTTGATTACCATTTTACTTTGAGAAAAGCATACTGCCTCCAATCAACAGGAGGGGGGTGTGCTATGGTGATCAACCATACCTCTTTTATTCTTTGCTTTTGAGAACTCCTTGGCCCTCTCAAGCTCAGCACCTGCTTTTTTCTCTAACACTTTCTCTTTCTTCTCCAGCATATCAAGAGTCTAAATAAATACATAAAAAGAGTGAGAATTTTAAAATGTTTATATATAATAGGCATAAAAAGTGTCCAAAATCTATTGTAACGCTAGGATAGTTCACCACTAGATCAGCAAATAGAGGCCATCTTCCCTCCTTATAAGAGGCTAATAGCTTAACGTTTGCAACTTCAGAAGCAGACTATGAAAGAAAGGACAGGATTTTATTAATCATACAAAGTTTGCACACCAAATAAAGTTGGACGAAGCTGAAATCACAAGAGAATTCCTACACACTAAATTCCCCATATACCAAGACAGAAAATTAAAGAGATAGTTGATCAGAAACTGCCAATGCGATACAAAATGGCCGTCAGAATCTTAATCGTGCATTCAACAACTTAATTATACAGGCTAGCAAGATTAACGACCTCTTTAATTCAGGACGCGCTGATCCAGTCAACGTCAGCTGAGAAGCATGGCAGTTGCGAACAATTTGCATGGCAATTTATGTTTGCCAAGGACGGCAAGTTTAGTTGGAGAACATGGCAAATCTGCTTCAGTCTATTTTTTTTGGACAGAATTTGCTGTGTTTGCAAACTAAAGTTGCCATAAAAACATTCGATTTGCTACCCCCTCCCAGCGAACGTTCTCCAGTTAGCATTTCCTTTAATTTATCCGAAGTGTAGCCGGCATAATAAAAACAAAACGGTAGACTTGACGCCTCACCTCGTTTAACTTATCCAAAGTGGCCAACGCGCCGGCGTTGGCCTGCTCCTTGGGCTTCCCAAATAACCTGTTGAACATGGTGGCACCTCAAATATGGACTCGGAACCTGCAACACGGAAGCATAGTAAGAGGTATAATCATTCACCGGACAATTATGAGAAGAGAAGCTCGAAGAAATCTGGTGCGCAGCAGCGCGACTAGCAAACAAACACAAGCTCATGACTCACAATCTGGCATTAAGACGCAGCACTTAGATCACTAAAGTAGAGATCTAAAAGGTCTTATATTAGTTTACAGAGGGAGTCAATCCTAGATGGCAAATTCGCCACTAAAACCAGCGTACATAAATACATAACCCACGAGCTAGGAAATCGCTTGGGCGCAAAGTAATACAGTAGTATGTATTTCCTTACAAAGACGACGGCGATGAACTAGCAGTTGCGATTTGCGACTACAATCGTAATAGGCGCAGCTAAACCCAAAAGCATCAGCGAAAACCGAGCCAGGAAGTACCACGACCCGTACCCCGATCCGATGAGAAACCAGCCGCCTAGTCACGATGAACCGACGGAGAAAGAGAGATGGGCGCCGAACCAGGGGAGAGGGGGGTAGGGGCGCGGATCTGGCGAGAGCGGAGAGCGGGCGCTTACCGGATTCGGCGACGGAGGAGTCGAGATTGGGGTTGGCTGGCTGGCTGGCGTCCGGTGGGATTGGCTGCGGGGGTGGGTTGGGTTGGGATTCTGTTTAGGTTTCTGGTTGGGGAGACGAGGGGAAGAAGGAAGGAAAGGGAACGAGTCGAGTTGGAGGCCACGCGGACGGGGACAGCCGCGTGCCTGCGTACCCCACACGGTGAGCTGAAAGAGTAGGCTAAGCAAACGAAACGCACCCTCAATCAATTTCCCTGTTATATTAGAAAAAAAAAACTCAAAGACTATGCAGCAGACGTCAGGTTTTTAGAAAATTCAAGCGAACGTCGCTCCCGTCGTTGGATAAGACGCACGAATCTTGGTGTTGGAGGAATCGTCACATCACGTGTTTAAAGCGTTCACTCTAACAGACGTCCAGATAAACGTTTTAGCCTCACCCACTCGCCCACTCTCTCATTTCCTCCATAATCCGCCGCCATGGTGATTCCCTCAAGGAGAATAGCCGAGGTGGCGCTCGGCTACAAGCTCCTAGCTGGAGCGGCCTCTGGAGGAGAAGGCTAGTGGCGATCAAGCGCTTGCGCGTGAGGTATCTTCAACCCACTTCTGCAAGGTGTTCTTAGTAACAGAGTTGGATTAACTCACCATCCCTGATGCATTCCGTCAACATCTTGAAACCATCTCACGGTATATCGTTCTGAAGACGAGCAACAGATGCAATTGGCAGATCAGGCTCTAGGATGTCAATGGGAAGGTTGTCATGGATCAAGGGGGGGCAGGGTTTGCCATTTGCTCACCCGCTGAAGACCGGCCACTTCCAGAGGTCCTGACCTACGATGCTTTCAAGGTACTGTCTTCGATCGTTATTGCGCAGAGGTGCTCATGAAGTGTGGCCAGCATGAGCCCCCCCCCCTCCCCGCCATGATTATTGAGTGAGGGCTTTGTAATCTCTCTTCATAATGCATGTGTGGGTCATAAACTTGTGTGAATGTGGTTAATGTGTATTTATGTGTATGCTTGTTCAATGTGGTTTAATCCCTGCTCTTTATTGTTGTTGCCGCTATTTCATGCATGTGACTGTGTGCTGATAACATCATCGCTCGAAGAAGAGATTACC